ATAATAATATTTGACATACAATTTAAAATAAGCATTTTCTGACTAAATACATATTAATATCACATCATGACCCCAGGGGGTATGGAACGGTCACAACTGGGGATTAATTTTTTACAAAGAAATATGAAGATGATTTAAAAAATGTTAAATAAAGACAGACTTTATAAAAAAGAATTAAAATCGTTTTCTCAAGAACAGGGAAGTTTTATGCTATAGTGATATGGAGGCGTCCTTGGGTAGTATAAAGCAAAACCTGTTGTATTCGCACCCCTACTATAAAAGTTGTCATATATGTCAATTTTTTAAAACGCATCTTATTTATGTGGTATTAACAAACCCAGACTTAAAATTGATAAAAATGTCGCTTAAAGTGGCATTGATGCCCTTAATTTAAGTAGCCTAACATATTTACTAGTCCTTGTTATGCCCGCAGGCATATAGGGCAAGCACTAAACTTATCCACTTCTCTCTATCTTTAACAGTTTTCTCCATTTCCCCAAGTTAGCTTCTGGTCCCTCAATTCTATTTCAACAGTCCTTCGCCAGGTTGTCTTTGGCTTACCAGTTTTCCTGTTCCCTTACCGGTGTCCATCTAAAGGCCACTTTGGTGATGTTGTTGGATGGTTTACTCAACACATGCCCTAGCCCTCGCCATCTTTGTTTAGTCAACTATCAGGTGACTTATGGCTTATGGTCTTCGTACGTTGTTTGTCGTCCATTGATTATAAACTTTTAATCATTTTTAGCATCTTCTCTGGTCAACCACTGAACCTATTTCAACCAAATTTAGCATAAAGCATTTATAGATGAAAGGAAATAAAAATAAAAAATCTTCTCTTCTGCTCCTGGGTATTAAGCTGATGAACTAAGTACATAGTAATAAGAATTAAGAGTGTTTTTCTAAATTTATGAGTTTCATGGTCCCCTTAGTCAGGGGTGCCGGGGGTATTATGCCCCCTTTCGAAGAATGAAGGGTACTGTATAGCGGGTTTTCTTGGTGGGTGTAAAATTTGACATTTTGCCTGCTGAAAGGTTATGATGCCCATTATATTTTTGGGAAATTTATTTTAGCGGACACAGGGTTTCAAAACTTTGGAGATAAACACTAAGAAGAGTACTGAATATTTTAGCGATTAAAATTTAAGCTGACTTCCATCAAAACGCCAAATAAGCCAAAATTATCACCCTGCTAAAATAACCTGCTAAACGGTATATTGCTTTGCTGTTGTCTGTTGATTGGTCTGTCTGTCGGTCAACCATCAGTGTCCTTTCATTTTTTCGCACACATTGAAATGAAATTTTGTATACAAATGATGTGTTATAGAACCTGCCAAAAAGACGTTTGCTCGTTTCTTATCACCTGACCAGGCACGATTAAAACTGCATATGATTAAAGGAGAATATTTCCCATTATGTGAATGATCACAAGCGATTCTGCATGATTGGTTTGACAACAATAGTGTTGCAACTACTCTATACAGTTACTATATAACAAGTTTTAAAATGAATTCATTGCCACTGAATAACAAATCTCCTTTACAGTGGCTGATGATGACTGGGACATTTATAGGATAAACGCTGCAGTTAAAACAACATGTCCAAGCAGTGCAGTTGACAGCTCCAATACTGAAGAAGAAACACTGGAAATGAAAAAAACTGATAAAGACACTGAACTTTCATAGCACAGAGGAAAAGAAAAGGCTTAGGTTTCTCAAATGTTCCCAAAATCAAGAGAACTCAGTACAGGTTATATCGTCCAGATATAGCTACTGAATGCCACTGTAATCCAAACAATGCTTGGATCAATTTTTCTGGAAAAGCAGGAGCATTACACAGATCCAAAAGGCATTACTTTGTATTGCATGCTAATCCACCGCAGGGGTTCCGAAGCCGTTTTCTCTTTATCACTTTCCCTCATTGGAATTTGGTGGTAAGCCATGTTCATCCTTGTGTTGGACATGACTGCAAGGTAAAAACATGTTCGATTGCTAAGAGAGATCATCGGCAATTCTCGGGATAGGGATGCATCCTTGTCTGTCTGTGCATTCTGTCGTAAAAAATTACACATAATCTCCATGATTTATCTTTCTTTTGTACCAAAACAAGTGTTTAATATGAAATATTTGATTTCTTAATCAATCATGTTTCAGCAACTTTTCAATTTCAAATCTAATATATCTCCTTAATAGTGAACTCTTCTCACTCGATCTTGAAATGGTCTGTTATAACTTATGTTGATACGATGTTCTCCTATTCTTGTGCGCTCCTATTTAATAGTTTTAAACACAAATTGATTTACTAGTAAAAACTTTTTATTCCATTGCTTGTTCTTTTGACAGGTTTTCACATCCATTGAAACACATCACATAGGAAAGACGGAAGTTTCGGACACACTTCCGGTGCACATTACACACATCATTCGATACAAATGAATCACAAACACAACTCACTGGTGGTAATAGTGAAAATTTCCGATAAAGTCTTCACACAAATTTCACTGTTCCCAGAAAAAACGCACATACACAGATTGCCATTTCCCACGTTCACCAATGTAACGCCACAGTCAGTATGACTATGCAAAATTGTTTAATCAGCACTAAATGTTATGAATACAGACTTGGTCCTAGAATTCACTTTTGACTTTAAAACATCATGCCTCGGTGGAATAACGCTATTTTCCACAGACACTACCAGGCAGCTTTGTTCGATTTCCTCTAGAGCTGGCAGTTCTCAAGCTCAAACTTTGGCTATTATCACATAATTCCACTGCACCTTGAAGTTTTATCATAAATCCTGTCCAAGCAAATTACACTGTACGCCTTTGAAAACGCGTAAATAGAATTCATATCTAAGAAACAATCATTTTTCAGTTCCAATGGTTTTTAACCCCTTCCATCAGCAGTTTTGACATTTCTTAGTGCATATTTAGCTTATTTAATTTTTCACATGAACTAACAAGATCATCAGTCATTCGCACACAAAAATAGATCCGCTTTAACTCCGAAATCTGTGTGCGTTACAACATCTGTTTGAGTTTCAGAACATGAAACATGACGCTGTAAGTTTTCTGAACTAGGCCTATTTTGTGGGTGACCGAATTTTAAAAACTCTATACTGCCTCGGTCGATTCAAGTTTAACTGCTGACTTCCATATAATATTTGACAAAAAGTTCTGGGTTTACTGACATCATGGTTGCCATTGAATTATTTCGCTATATCTTAATTCTTATGGACATTCTTTCTCATTAGTTTTGAGTGAATTCGCACATTTTTTCCTTTTCAACGTATGGTACATACAAATTTTTAGTTGAGTTCTGTTATCAAAGTACTGTTTGTTTAACTTGTAACCTAAGGTTCATTCTTTCTTAAATCAAAATTTCGGTAAAGCGTATGCACTCTTCTTGCATAGCAGCTGTAACAGCTGTCAGTCTAAATTCTTCAATTTTTTGAATGCAAGGCGGAAGTCATACCAATTATTAGTCCATTATTTATTACTGAATTGACCACGGATGTTTTCAATTTCCATTATACTTTGTTCTCGGCGGGATCAAAGCACAACGGTACTCCTACATGGCCTGTCCGTAAATTCGAATGTTTCTTTGTCCAGTTTACTGCGCTCTGCTTTATTTTGTATTTCCTTAATGCGACGCACCCAAAAATATATGCCTTTTCAATCCTTATCCTCCTTTCTGGAAGATACGCAAACGCTTTAGCTTGATCCCTTCGAAATTTGTAAAAGAATGGATCTCAGTGCTTTACAAACATCTTGCCACTGATTCAAACTTGACACATTTTCAAAAATGAACTCGCTCCAAATAGTGGATCCATCTCCCTAAATACTCGTTTCACAGGAATATGAATATCCGGTTATTGGCTAGATAATGATGATTCCATTGGTGTACAGTGAAAAATCTGCGTTAGCATTTTCTGGGGTTCTGTCGATTTAATTCCTCTATATCTAGTAATTTGTTATACAGTATATGTTGCGTTCTCGAGCAATAACACATAGTTTCCAAATTACAGTTTCCTATCACAATGCATTAGAAAAGCAAATATTTAAAAATGAATTCTTGAGTAACCAACACAAATTATGCCAGGAGGAAAAATTTTATATATAAAGCTTCACAGAAACAGACTGTAAACTTACAATTTACATCCAGAATTTTAACAAATTTCCCCATAATGCATCCCTTAAATCAATTCGACTTCAATGGGTGTCAAAATCATTTCTTTATTCCCAGAGTACGTATATCAGAGTCGGGTTATAACGTACAATTTTACATTGGAGTTTCTGCTGTGTCAAATATCCGTCAATTCGCAAATTTCTTACTGAACTTCGCAGGGCCCTAGAGTTTCGCACTTCGTTAGTTTCCATATGTAATTTGTGGATGCTTGAATAGCAATGTTTCATCAGTTCTGCAATCTGCTTGCCACCAAAACACCACTCACAAATAAATCCAGCTTGACAAAATATTACATTTTCACATAGTTAATAAAGTTACATGAATCTGTGATAACAAGCATACACATTGTAGAAATAGCTCACAATACTTTTATTTTCATTTATGATGCCGATTTTCTGTTTTTATGAACAATTGTACAATTCGATATCAGTTCTTTCTGTCAAATGTGTCATACTGTCTGTTTAGTGCAATCATCATAATCATAAATTTACTGTCTACTGGTTCAATTACATTTCGGTAACTTTTAATCCATAGTCCAATTTGTGGAGGAGGAGGGAATAAGTGTTTTACAAACATCTCTTGTTTAAACACATTTGGTTCAAACTTCATTAAATTTTTCAAAAGTAATTATTTCTATAATTGTCTTTCGTTTAAGGCTAATGGGGTTAAACAATAAGATTAGGTTATTTTTTGGGAGTTAATGACGATTCCATGGGGTAGTCAGTTGTAGTGGGTATCTGTTCATTTCTCTGGATCATCCAGTGTGACCCATAAAATGGCGGTCAGTAGTCAGGAATTATGAATGTGTTTACAGAGGCTATTGCTACTGAAATGGTCTTCTTTGCATATGCTGCTTGCCTGGACAAGTACATCACATCGTTATACATTTCTTTTTTCTACAAATCAGTTGTCATACTGAAGAAAGAAGATGTGTAAAATTGTCTTTAAAAATTGATTACTGAATGTCCTGCAGTGCTTATTTTAAAATAACGTTTAATATGCTTACACAATATTAAGTATCATAATTCTGCTTTATTATTGTAAAACTAAAAACAGAATTATAAATTGAAGTTCTTTTATTTTTAGATGTTTTAAATACAAAACTGTAAAGCTATACACTTTTCAGAGACACTGACTTGTTTGTTTTTTTATCATGATGCTTTGTTGTTCTTTTAGACTACCTGAAGTTTTGGATAACCTCAATCAAGACATTTGGAGGCAAAGCGGCACCACTGTTTCTTGTTGTCACACACACAGAAACAAAATCTGCTGATGTTAGTATTCAGTCTAACAGAAATTTGAATCAGAAAAGAATAACTTATACTAACATATCTTTAGAATGCACAATAACAGTGTGTACTTCAGAACTTCAAAAGAACCAACATTTCATTTACAGTAAATCGTATCACACAATTATGTATTACATCCAATGTGGTATTGTTAATCTATAATGGATACCTGATTTACAGTTTAATCTGTAATCAGTTAAAACTAATTACCAGTTTAAATCCAAAATATATGATTTTCAGATTTTCAAACATCAACACACAATTAAGCATCTACAGTGATAAAATCATAACTCACAATTATGAATTAATATCTCTATGCTTGCTTTGTTTACTTCTTCAGGAAATAGAGATGTATTTGGGGGAGTTTTGGAATGCCGTACACGATGACGATAGAGATTGGTTAAGTGAGTCTCTGAATGATCGAGAATATGCAGTAGGTCTGAAGACACTTAATGATAATACCAAGGAAATACTGGAGTCAATGAAAAAGTCCATAGTGGAACTATTCACAGATGAGAACAATACAAAAGTTGAATTGCCTTCTTCGTGGGCTCTAATGGAGCAGTTATTATATGAAGGAGCCTGGAAGGTTTTGTCCCTGAGTGAAATCTGGAAGCTCAACTCATCTCTTCCTGACGAATACCAAATCAAAAGTGATGAGGAAATGTCAAAATTTTTAAATGTTTTCATGACAGTGGCCTTCTTTTGAATTTTGAAGAAGTGGAATTGCGAGAACATGTTATACTAGACATTCAGTGGTTTGCTAATGCTTTCAGTAAGATAATTGCTGATAAAAACCACATCAATAAAGATTGTAAAAGGAAATTAATTAAAGAGTGGAAATCCTTTAACAAAACAGGGGAACTTAAAGAAACAGTAAAAGATGCTTTGTGGAAAGAGGAACCCTCTTACTTGAAACATAAAAATGAAATTTTGTCATACATGGAGAAACTTCAAATGCTGGTCCCCTTGAATGCATTTGAGGCTGTATCAGCAGGTAGCATGTCATGGTATGTCCCGTGTATGAACAAAAAGCAGTTTAAAGCTGACTTCAGTGAAGATAATGGGAATGCTCATCCATTTTGTGCTATCGATTCAGTTCCTTTGCCATGTTTGTGTTCTACAGACTGGTAGCATACTGCATAAGTTCTCTAAGATGGAGTGTTGCAAAAGATGAAGATAATGAAGGAAGTCCATGTCTTTATCAAACAGCGGCAGTGTTTGATCACAATGAACACACTGTTGTTGTTGGCATATGTAATGACGATATTCAGTTGCAAGTGCTGAGAATCAAATCATTGACCATAGACAAAGAAGTATCATATGAAATTGGAAACTCCATTGATAAAGCAATAAAAAAATTGACAGAAACATTTATTGACACAAAAATATTCCACAGAGGATACAAATGTCAAAACATTATTTGTAATGAGAAAGATCTATCTTTTACCGTTTCAAGTGAGCTGTCCAAAATCAAGGCTAAAGAAATTCAGTGCAAGTGTCAACTTCGGGAGAAACATGTGATAAATGTACAAAAGACACAGGGATTCTGGGAAAAGGTAACAGTTATTAATCTTTATACTCCCTGTAAAACAATCGAAAAATCGATTTTTAGGACTTACATTGTCTGCCTGTCTGTTGGTATATATGTCCAGCCAATAACTTTGTAGGAAAAAAACACTTGCACATTTATTGTTTACAAGCTGAGGAATCATACTGATTTTGACCATATAAAAGATCAATGAATGAAAAAAATATTAAAGAGAGAGACATTTGAAGTTTATATTTTACACAGAGCATTCTATCAGGAATGTCTTGATCTAAATGTAAGGCCAATTGGTCAAGCTCAAGATCACTTTCAGAAAAATTTTTTTTTAAATAAAATCAGTGTAACCATATCTTGTAAAATGGACCATTATTTGACTCAAAGATTTCTTACGACCCAAGAATGTGTCATGATTTGAACTTATTTTAAGGTAATATGATGTTTACCTGAAAAAATAATTGGAAACTCAAAATGAAATGAAGAAATGTAGTTAGGTATATCTATATAAATAATTGGAAACTCAAAATGGAATGAAGAAATGTAGTTAGGTATATCTGTATACTTCAAACTGATATTGCTTATAATCTCAAAATGTGTCGTGACCTTGATCAAAGCACCAAGTTTCTTTCAGACCAGTGCAGAGTAGATGAACTGTTTTGCAAGAGGTTAATGGATTTTTAATCTTTTACCAAAATTGTGCAATTAACTACCCATTGTCTCGTGGTTCGGGTACCAGGGTTTTATAAGCTCTGATGAGTACATTATGTTTCTCTCTAGATAAATCTTTCATTTCACTTTATTCCTAATTTTCCAAATTGATGTGATGTCACCAACTCAATGATATATAATGGTAAATTAAAATTGTTTTTATCCTAATTTTCCTTTCTTGACCTACAAAAGGGCCCTTTGTTATAATCACCTTGGAAAACAAACTGTACTTGCATTAGGGTTTAGCTTTGCTTAATATATGGGGAATCATCTTATAAATTTTAATCTTGGTTTATAATGTTTTTTCCTAAGTTGGCTCCATTAGATGAACTTAGATTGATTTTGTTTCAGACAAAGTTGGCTATTTCCAGCACTTAGTTTCGAGGTTAAGATTGGTTTATTGTAATAGCTATGGTTTATTTTGTTTTAGAGAGAGGCGAGTGATTCCAGTACTCCTGTGGCCTCTGGACAAAACCTAGAAGGCCGGTCTAGATTTGCAAAACTTGGTATGGCTACAAATGATGTGTTGAATAAGGCATACAGAGATATTCTAGAATCAGAAATTCCTGCATCTGATATTGAGAACAAGGTGGATTTATTATCAAACAAAAAGTTGAAGAGTCTGAATCTAAATGCAAATCAAGAAGATCAATTGAAAAAAGCAAAAAAATCAGGATATGAGGAATTTGATATTTCATTAACATACAAATTGATAAGAAACATTTGTTCAAAGATTCCTAAACCAACAAAAGGAAAGTGGGGAGAAGAGCCTGCAGCAGCAGAGGTGAGAGTGGGTGATGATATCGAACGAATTAGGTCAATACGAAATAGACTAACTGCACACGTAAGTTCAGCCTCCATCCCTCAGACAGAATTCGACGATACCTGGTCAGTAATGTCTGATGTCTGCCAAAGACTCGAAATCTTCACTGGTAAAAAGTACGTGGATAGCCTTAAAGGTATTCAGAAACTGGCTCTGAAAGAGGAAGGGGAAGATGCAATAAAAACTATCATAGAAAAGTTTGTCAAGGATCAACACGAACTGATGAAGACAGTTGTGTCAGATGTTCAAGAATTAAAGTCTCAAATGTTGACATTAAAACGAAATTGAAGACTGGAAGCGGCCGTTCAGAAATTATAATCTTCATAAATAGAACGTTTGTAGGACTAGTAAACAATGAATTCTGGAACACTTGGTTGAAGATGTCGGAAATCTGCAATTAACCCGAAAGTTTCATTTGTGAAAAAGCTTTAGTTGATGAAACAAGAATATCAATTGTCTGATATTTAAAGCCATCATGTCGTAAATTTTATGGTCGCTACAATGACCTTGTCAGCAAATACAATTTATCATTGAGTCAAATGCTGACTGACGTTTTTCATACTTAATATGAGTCCATTATTTACACACTGAATTGATGACGGAATTTTTCCGCTATTTCACGATCATTGCAATGAGCACACGGCGGGTGTGACCGGTCAGCAGGGGATGCTCACTCCTCCATGGCACCTGATCCCACCTCTGATGTTTCGGAGGTCCGTGTTTGCTCTGCTCTTATTTTGTATATTGTTTAATGGACTTTGAGATTGAATAAAAATCGTTATCTCCATATCCTTATTGGATAAGCTTAATTATAAGGCTTACTGAAATAAAGAACAGATCTATTTAACAAATTTTTAGCGAAACATGAGTTCGGCGTCCAAGTCTCAGACAAGATTCAATGAGAGTGGGCTTTGTGCATATGAATTCTCTTCAGTCGCTATTTAATGGAATATCACCAGTAGTCAAGCAATGTTACCAGTGCTACGTTGGAGATAATGGCTTTATCATTAATCTGATAATGGTGCTTTTAACAAATGTATAGCATTAAATCAGAATCAACTAATTTACATGAAAGTATAATATTGTAGAATTGTGAAAAATCAAGACTGTTAAGAGAAAATCAAATAAAATGTCCATGAAAAAAAATCAATCGTAATGAAGGAGCTACAGATTAGGAGCTGGTTTATATTGTGTAGAATATTAAAGAATTGCATATATTACTTAATCTTATTAGAATGGAGAGTGCTAGAGAGTTCATTTTAAGTGAATGTGTATGCTATACTGCTTGTTCCTATTTTACAGTAGCTTCAAAAGTTCAAATTTGTATAGAAGTGTCGGACAAGAAGGGAATATGTTCATTCACGATTGCATATTTTTAAAACACAGATTAGCGATCGACCTTTGTTGCTTGTGTTGATATGTTTATTATTTCATTTTGCTTTTGTATTGTAAACTTAATATCCAGTGGGATCAAAGTATTACAAAATGTTATTTGTTTATATGAATATACACGTATGTTATATTCTTAATAGTACACAGATTTATGATCCTACTTTGTTGCTTGTGACAATATGTTTACTTTATTTTACTTATGTATTGTGTACTTTATATCCAACATGCTTCAACTAATTGACAGAATGTTTTATGATAGTACAAAAATATACGCGGATGTAGTTACATGCCTCTTTAATTACTGAAAACCTTGGGGCTTAAAATGTTGATAAAATTCACTGAAACGACAGTGAATAAGGACAGGGTCATTCTTTGAAAATTGATCCATCTGTATGTGAATCACAATCAAATCAATATACTGAATATTTTCCACCTGTTAGACGAATTTTTCGGCACTAACGGTTTAACAATGCCAGTATACTGTACCTCTCCATATACATCCATCAAGTTTATTTTTCTAAAATCACAGATCTTCATATATGCTTTATTAATTATACTTTAAGTGAAAAGATCAAGTCAAATTTTGACATTTTCAGTAATTGCATTTTGTATGTCCATAAATTTATATGTAGGCATATTGAGCAGTACGTGGCACATCTTTATCGTTTAGCGCCTTCTATAACACGGGACTTCGGTTTAAATACGATTTCATCTAAAGGACTAATCTCATCTGTATGACCAGACTTTAAAGGGGCATAGACACAGTTCAGCTAAAAAAAATATTAAACAAAACACTTTCTAATGATCATAAAAAATTTGACCTGGTTTTTGTTTCATTTGATAAGATAGGATAAACGCAAAAGAAAGGATTGACAGACAAGACGAAAATGATCATTTTGTTTAGCTGCAAACCTTGGTTATATAAACAGACTTCGTGTCATGTTTTGTTTACATAGATTAATATAGTAATATCATAGGGGCTTGTCTTCCGGATTGATAAATGTAAAATAATTTTTCAAAAATTTGTATCTACATTAAATACACTCTAAAATTGCTTTAAGGGGATGAAGGACCTTTAGCTGAAAAAATACCTGTCATTTAATTTTTTTCATATTTTGTATATATCTTATTTAGTATGTCCTACATACTATAAAGCAGACATATCAATAAATTTATAAACCCTATTTAGATTTAATTGATTGAGTGACAAATACCATAAAAAATATACATTTGTATTTCTAGTCCATAATAAATTTATCGACAAATTGAAATTTTTCACCATAGATAAAAAATATACCAGCGGTAATGTAAAATATTTTAGAGTATGAATAAGGTTAAAAATTCGAAAAAGCAAGATTCTTTTGTAACATCACATCTGGAGACGGAAATTTAAATCCTTTTTAGGACAACTTAAATTTTAAAAAAAATTAATTTGCAAAAAAATCCTATCATTAATAATATTTGAAAATTTAGTCATGAAGTTCAAGGTCGTCATTGTAATTGATTAACTGTAAAAATATATTGTGAAGCTTAAAGCTCAATATTGCACTATACAAAGTTATTTTAGAGAATGATCATGAGAAAAACGTGTCTTGTTTACATTTCTCGAGTACGGGAAAACCCAACTATGACGTCACGCATTCCTGAAATAAGCGAAATAAGACAAACCCACAGAATTTTTCCGTCAACAACCATGTAAAAATATTTTTGCGTTTTGAAATTTACAAAATACCCTACCATGTACATATTATGGCCCGTTTTTATGATTTTATACTACCCGTTTTTACCGTGTGTGATCTTACTGAACTAAGAGATCCACTATGACGTCAAAGACGCACAGGATGCGCAGAGTAGGGAAACGGCAAAGTGGACTAATCTATTCCGTAATTTGATAATATTTGCAAGAAATTTTGAATGTTTTCAGATATTTTTATACTTTAGATGGTGAACGCAAACAAACAATCAAAAAAATTATACAAGTACTGTGGTTTCAATCTCGTTTTGTACATATTTTATCAGAAATTATGACGTAAATCAACTGAGTCACGTGACCATACATCCTTCATCCCCTTAATAAAGATTCTGACATGATCAGGCGAGAAAAAAAATGTTTTTAAAAAAGTACTACACCTATATACATAAACTCTCAAAGGGACGCAAGCTGAAACATCTTGAAAAAATACCCCCTTCCACTTCAGCACCTATTTTTAGACTTTAAGGCATTAATTTATTTAGTTTGCCACAGTTTCTTCCCTACAGTGATGATTTTCCTAAATGTTGATGCGGTTGTCATTCGTGGACACGCGTTTAATCAACAGAAAACGGTTACAATTTCTTCGACTTGGAGCTCATCTCTCTGAATCGACCTCAAAAGAACGGAAGTTGACTTTTGGATACTGTTGTTTTTATCAAAAGGTTAAAGCTCAGAAGGTAAGGTGAAAGCAAATAGTTTACCAAAGGCTCCCAGCTTCGCAGAAAAAATGTTTACCAACAAGAAAAAGATAATGAAAACTGAAAAATACCTGCTAAAATTTGGTTTCACAGGCTAAATTGTCAAGACTCATTTAATATACAAGTGATTTGTTACATAATTTTGCTCTAAAAGCACGCTATAGGATATACCACGATTATTGCCCTTGCGTCCTTACCATGCAACCTTGTCAACTTCCGTTCTTTTGAGGTCGATTCAGAGAGTTTTCCAAGTCGAAGAAATTGTCAACCGTTTTCTGTTGATTAAACGCGACGATTGTCCGGGAATGAAAAAACCGCATCAACATTTAGGAAAATCATTACTGTAGGGAAGAAACTGTGGCAACTAAATAAATTAATGCTCATTTAGAGAATTTCAGAAATAGGTGCTGAAGTGGGAGGGGATTATTTCATTTTCAAAAATTAATTTTGATCCCTTTGAGAGATATATTATTTTCTTAATTTAATATATTTTAAAAAATTTTTAATTTATTAATTATATTATTTATATATTTATTCTTTTATCAAAGCTTTAATATTTTTTTAAGATGCATTTATGTAGGAATTAACAATTATTTCTCTTTATTGGTTAAAACATCTTATTTTAGTTAACAAAAGAAAAAGATGACTCGGAATATATAGTTTCTTCCTGGTAAAGATCCAGCGAGGGTGACGAATGTGACGTATATAGAGAAGCAAAACTTTTACGATACCGAACCTGATAAACGATTACACGATGCAAAACACGATAAACGGAAAACACGATAGAAAACGCAAAACACGATAAACGGAAAACACATGATAGGATCACGTTGTGACTTATGGAAAAGGATGTGCATTTTTTTTAAAACAACGATAGATATTGTAAAGCAATACGATGCGGGTACTGTTCCCCTCAACATAGTGTTGTCATTTTTGATAATTTGGTGCTCCGCAAAAAGCTTAAGATTTTTCAAGTTTTAAAGCTTAAAACCTATATAATAATAATCCAAATGAATGAAAATTCAACTCATTACTCCAAATCATAGAGAATTTATTATAGTAAAATTTTGATATTATATTGCCATATAGCCTGATGACAACGAAAACTTCAATCACAATGTTATTTGTAAATGTCAAAAAATTCTTAATTAAGCATTTTTAAATGTTGTTTATATGGCATCACATGCCTATAAATGCCATAATTTGTCAAAAAAAATTAAGAAGTGGTTTCATTCATTTTAAGTGAATGTGTATCCTATACTACTTGTACCTATTTTAGAGTAGCTGCAAAAGTTCAAAGTTGTATGGAAGTGTCGGATAAGAAGGGAATATGTTCATTCACGATTGCATATTTTTAAAACACAGATTAGCGATCGACCTTTGTTGCTTATGTTGATATGTTTAATTTATTTTGCTTGTGTATTGTAAACTTAATATCCAGTGGGATCAAAGTATTACAAAATGTTACTTGTTTATTTGAATATACACGTATGTTATATTCTTATTAGTACACAGATTTATGATCCTACTTTGTTGCTTGTGACAATAT